ACCTATATGTTTTTACGATAAGTTTATGGGCTTTTTTCAGAGCAGAAAGATTTCAGGAATCTCAACGGTAAGGGTACCCAGCTGCAGGAAAATAAGGCATGACTTAGCACTAATTAAATTTGTTCGATTAAAGATCTTTTTATATGAAATATTATCCATAGCAATAAAACAAATAGGTTATTATTCCCAAAACCAAACAGTTAACCGAAAGATTCCCCCTTAGTCAAAGATGTGATTTCATACCTTCCATAGGTCAGTACAAAGTATGTATATTGTGTGGCGGTTGACTATGCATGTATTTTATACAAATCAAATAGTTTCGAACCATTATACAACATTCCGAAGAATAAAAAAATTATAAATTTAAGAAAATGCACTTTCGGATTACCGAAACAGGAATTTGAAACGTTTTCCAGGCCATTGCCGTCTACCAAGCCCTAGCGTCAGGGATCGAGCTCTGTAAACGGTACACAGGCGGAAGGGAGGGAATTGACCCAACAAACCGGACACAATTTGCAACGTGATCGACTTGGAAAACATTTCAAAACGCGGGCTGCCATCGAAGCTGTGTTACTTCTTCTGCTTTTTCTTCTCCAGCTCCTCCTCCTTCTCCTTCTCGATGATCTTCACATAGTCTGCAATCACTTTGCTGTCCAGCATTTTCAGGGGCTTGCCATTCTCCATGATGGCCACCTCCAAGTTGTTCTGGCCCGACTGGGCAACCTCCAGGAGAGCGCGTATGGCCAGCTTGACGGCACCGCGCTCGGAGCTCACCTCCTCCTCGCGGTAGGCCTTCTCGAAGAACTCGCGCACAGTCTTGGCAGAGCGGCCAGTGGCGTTGGCCTTGTACTCGTAGAAAATGCCAGATGGCTCAGTCTGGAAAAGATGTGGAGAGCCATCCGAGTCGAAGCCGCCGATGAGGCAGGATATGCCGAAGGGACGACGGCCATTGCTCTGCGTGTACTTCTGTTTCAGCTGGGCAATATATCTGAAAAACAAGAACCAAACCAGTGGAGGCACTTGGTAATGGACGTCGGCTGCTGGCCTTCCTACCTGGTGATGTACTCGAGGGTCACCGGATCCTCGACATTCAAGCGGTGACTCTGGCACTCGACCTGTGCGCGATTGATCAGGATGCGAGCGTCGGCCGTCAAGCCGGCAAAGGCCATCACAACGTGGTGGTCCAGCATGCAGATCTTGCGCACAGTGCGGTCCTCCTGCAGCTTGGCCACCGACTTCTTCTCGACGCCCAGCACCACGCAGTTGGCACCGCGAACACCGACCTGTGCGACAATTCAAACTTTCTTAAGTTTTGTTCAGAACGCGAATCGCGTTCGCGGAAACCGGGTCTTACCGCTGTTGAGCCCTTGCGGACGGCTTCCTGGGCGTACTCCACCTGCAGCAGGTGGCCATCGGGCGAGAAGATGGTAACGGCACGGTCGTAGCGCGAGGACATCTTTTATTTCAGGTTACAAGCAAGGTAAAAGCTGAATTCGGTTCGATTTTCGCTTGTATGCCAGGCAATGATGATGCTTTTTTGAGGGAATGCCGCAGTGTGACCGCCTCAAGGGGGCCTCGAAAAATACCACAATGTATCGGACTTGCATTTGACACATTAACTGATATCGATGTATCGGAACATTTCACCAACAAATTTTGGATATATATTTTTAATTCATTTTCAGATTAAATTTCAGATTTTTCAGTTGGGAAAAATCAATAATTATTTACTTTATTATACAAATGAAATATTTTGCAAAAGTGCCACGGGCACTAAACATCGATGTTATAAATGCACTAAACATATCGACCTATCGATGCCATCGAGAAGAGTGCCAGCTCTAGCGCAAAAAGCCGACGGAACGAATTTTATGGTTTTATGAAAAAAAATGAGCACACCGGCGAAAAACAATGGAACCGGACTGGAGGACGTCAACATACCGGGCCAGGCGTACCTGCGCGAGGCCCTCACCTCCTGCACGGATCCGCTGAAGGCCATTGAGAGCTTCCAGGTTTGTTTACGTTGCACAAATGGGCGCCAAAAGTGTGTGTGTGTTGTGTTTGTTGACTCCGCCTAACTCTCCTTCTGGCTTCTGTTTTCTCCCTGCAGCTGGAGAACGGCGTGCTGCTGCCTTCGCTGCGACCAATGCTACCTCTGCTCGACCTGCACGGCGTTCGCCGGCTGGACTTCCACACCTCGCTGATGGAGGAGCTGCGGGACAAGCTGATAGCGCACATCAACGAGATGGGCCAGAAGGAGCCGCGCGAGCGGGACAAGAAGCTGAAGGAGCTGCTGGTGAAGAGCTTCCCCGTGGTGCGGGTCAAGTCGCTGCGGCCGGTGGTAATGGCCATTTTGCGCAACACGCAGCACATAGACGACAAGTACCTCAAGATCCTTGTGCGCGACCGTGAACTGTACGCAGACACGGACACCGAGGTGAAGCGTCAGATCTGGCGCGACAATCAGTCGCTGTTCGGCGACGAGGTGTCGCCGCTGCTGTCACAGTATATCCGCGAGAAGGAGCACATCCTGTTCGACCACACCAACCTCAACAATCTGTTCTTCCAGCCCACGCCCAAGGTGCGGCGGCAGGGCGAGGTAGTACAGAAGCTGGCCAACATGATCGGGACCAGCGTGAAGCTGTACGACATGGTGTTGCAGTTCCTGCGCACGCTTTTCCTCCGCACCCGCAACGTCCACTACTGCACGCTGCGCGCGGAGCTGCTCATGGCCTTGCACGATCTCGAGGTGCAGGAGATCATCTCGATTGATCCTTGCCACAAGTTCACCTGGTGCCTGGACGCCTGCATTCGCGAGAAGAACGTGGACATTAAGCGTTCGCGCGAGCTGCAGGGCTTTCTCGACAATATCAAGCGGGGCCAGGAGCAGGTCCTGGGTGATCTCTCCATGACGCTGTGCGATCCGTACGCCATTAATTTTCTGGCCACCTCGGCCATCAAGATACTGCACCATCTGATCAACAACGAGGGCATGCCGCGAGACAACCAGATCCTCATCCTGCTGCTGAGAATGCTGGCCTTGGGCCTCAGTGCCTGGGTGATGATTGACTCGCAGGACTTTAAGGAGCCGAAGCTGGACTGCCAGGTGGTTACCAAGTTTTTGCCCGCCCTCATGTCCCTGATGGTGGACGACCAGTGTCGCAGCCTGCATGCCAAGCTGCCGCCCGATGAGCGCGAGTCTGCCTTGACCACCATTGAGCACTCGGGTCCGGCGCCGGATGCCGTGGAGGCGTATATACAGGAGAGCTCTGTGGCCAGCATTCTGGCCATGTATTATACCCTGCACACGGCGCGGCTGAAGGATCGCGTAGGTGTGCTGCGTGTCCTGGCCATTCTATCAGCATGCAAGGATGACCGGGCCTACGAGGATCCCTTCTTGCACTCACTGGTAAGGAGCGCTATAGTCATGTTATTCTATTTAGTTTTGTTTGCAAATCAACTCACTTCCTTGCAGATCGCTCTGCTCATCCCCATGAGCGAAGAGTTCGCCACGGAGGACTTCTGTACGACCCTCTTCGACGAGTTCATCTTTGCCGGCCTGACGCGCGAGAACGTGACCTCCAGGCACATGCTTAAGCTGCTGTGGTATGTCCACAACAAGATGCCCGCCGGACGGCTGGCCACCCTCATGAAGGCGATGCAACCAACGACGGCACACAATGAGCACATCCACAAGCTGTACGAGACCTTGCAGGAGCGTATCGGCACAGGGGCAGCGGAGACGCCGGTTATCGAGGCGCCGCCAATCGAGTTCGATTCGCCGCTGAAGAGTGTTCCAACGCCGGGTCCTCACTATGCGGCCCAATAGCCAGAGGCGACGACGGTTGCGGCTGCCGCAACTGTCGTCGGGTGATCATCATTTAGCCTTGGCCAGGCGGCGGATGGGTTGAAGCAATGCCCCCTCATCGTAATTATACTGTTTAGAGTCTACGGAAAGTTCTGCGGCCGAGCTAATCGGTTAATGTATACCTTTACATACGCGTACATATTTACATATGTACGGCTTTGTTGGCGCACAATCCATTTGTTGTCGCGACCGATTTATATTATAGAATATATACGCTGTTACGCTAGTGTAACGTTCGATTATAGTGCAGAATAAATAGAGTACAAATCTAATACGAGGGAGAGCTGTATTTTTTTTTTTTTTATGCCCTTACAGGGTATTATAATTTCAGTCAGGAGCCATTTCCGACCCTATAAATCATGTATATTCTTGATCAGTATGTCGTCTTGAAAATAAAATAAATTGTTTAATTTTTTTTCCAAATTTTATTCGACCTCAAATATTAAAACTTTTTTAGTTGTTATAAGCTAAGTATGTAAATTTGTTAGCCTAATAAAGACTAAAAACACAGCTTTCCGAATTGAAATTAATGGCTTTTTGACTTAGCTATGATTATATGACATTTGTATTTGTCCCAAAAATTTGTATTATTATTTTCAAAATTCTAAAAAAAATGGCGAAGGTGGTTTGGTTTTCAATGTTTTTAGTATCTCCTGGAAAGTTTAAGGGGAGTCAGGAGATTCCCTGTTACTTGACCTTTAAACAAAATTGTTTAAATGTTGTGTTGTTATATGCTATTTAATTTAATAAGCAAACTTTGGCGGTTTCGCCAGGACAAGGAGCAACAGGAGAAAGAAAAGGAGCAACTAGACGCCGGCATCGAGGCAGAGGCACAATTGTATTCAAACCTTTATCTTTGCTGACAGATCCCAACTAACTGGATGAAGCTTCAGCAATTCACAAATACCATACAAATATAATAACAAATCACAAGAACAACATTAAACTATCTATCCTCGGGTTGTCCTTGGTTGCGAGCTCTGTGGAGTACAGACTGAGGGAGGGAAGGAGTCAATTCCGACCATGTAGAGTATATAAAATGAAGTTTTTTTAGAATACAATTAAATTCCTTTAAATTGCAATGCTTTTTTTATGGAATTTGATCGCAAGAAAAGACCGTCTTCATACACAATTTGTTCTATCATTTAATGCTTTACATTTTAAAGAAATACAAATATCAACTGACGATGTGTGTGGATTGTTGTGATTGAGGGGTTTTTGGAAATATGTAAATCGGTAGAAAACTTTTTACAGCAAGTGCCTATGCTTATAGCTTAGGGGAGAGGGGGGAAACACAACACATTAGTGGGGCTAGTGGGGGAGGAGTCTTTCGTCTCATGTCTGATCCATTGAATTGGAAACTGCTGCGGCTGCTACAGCTGCGGCTACTACTGCTGGCGGAGATGTGGATGGGGCTCCGCCGGATGTGGATGAGGGTGAGACTGGCGCCGGAAACGTGTCCAACGGAGGTAGCGAGGAAGAGGCCGAGAGCTCGTCGTCTATGCAGACGGTGGGTGAGTCCAGGACTTGGATTTCCGGCGAGAGACTAGGAGCGGGCGGTGGCACTGACAGAGATGACGAGGAGGAGGACGATGATGAGGACGAGCCTGAGCCAGAGCCAGAGCCGGAGGAGGATGACCCTGACGCTGAACCTGAACCCGAGGATGAAGAGCTGCTGGCTGCAGTGGCGGTGGTTGTCGTTGTGGTGCCTGTGACTGCGGCGACAGCCGGCGGGGATCCTCTGGCCTTGCCAGTGGCCTCTTCTCCTGACGCCGCTGCACCATCGTCGCCATTGGGCGATGGTCCACCGTCGGAAGGTGAGTCTGCCGGCGATGGTACGGCTTTGGGCAGTGGTGGAGCCGGTGTGGCAAAGATCTCCTTGCTGCTGCTACTGCTGCTGCTTCTCTCCTCCTTGCACTCCTCCAGCAGCTCCACATACTCGGAGTACATGCGCTGCCACTCGGAGTGCGGTTTCAGGGTGTCCAGCACGCACTGCATCAGCTCCAGCTTGGGCACGACCTAGAGCGAGATGGGAATATAAGCAATGCACCGGAGAGAAAGAGACATCGCCGTCATACCTGTGGAACACCCGGCTCGGGCGTGCTGAGCAAATCGTCCAGGAACAGGCGCATCCTCTTCTCGGAGCCGTGCGTGGCCAGCTGGAAGGTGAGCATCTTGTGCCAGTGCTTCAGCTCGTCCAGGGACTGAAGGGTCTCGCACAGCTTAATCTGGTTCTCAATGAACCGAATCTTGGCGCTCTGCTGCCAGGCCTCCGAGTGCCTCCTGCAAGGTAGACAGTGTTTTTAGGATTATTTCGGGAATTCAAGAGATGACTCAGGGGGTACTCACAGCTCCATGCTGCCGGTGAAGCAAAAGTAATTCTGACTGCTGGCCTGCATGCTCAGCAGCGGAAACCTTTCCGCCATCTGATCCATGTCCCGCGGCAGCGTTCCACGGATGCCATGATACATAATGGCATCCTTGGTGGCCAGCACCAGCCACGACTGCAGGCTCGTCGAGTAGGAGTACGAGTTACCGCTGGGAAAGCCGATCAGCGGCATTCCCTGATCCGTCACAGCAAACTGGACGGCAGTCCCGTGCTTGTTCAGCAGCTCTGAGCAGCCGGCGGCCAGGCTAATCACCCGCTTGGCAATATCCCAGATGCGCAGCAATCCGCACTCGGTCAGCACCCCCACCAAACTGTTGTCCGGACTCTGTAACAAAGAGGTTTTAATTTTAGGTCATGTCGCTGGCTAGAGACCCCATAGGGATACTGAACTCACAAAGGCGCAATGGACGGCGGAACTGGTTAGGGAGATCGCCGGAAAGACCGGGCAGCCCGTCTCCATGGAAATCAGTCGCATGCTCCCATCCAGGGAGCACAGCATGGCGTATTTCCCGCACAGATTCAGATTCACCACCGGCGATCCCACGTAGAACTCCCAGAGCATCTCCTTCGAATCGGAGGCGGTCACCTTAGCCAGCATGCCGTGATTCGTCTTCAAATGGCCATTCTGGACATGCAGGCGATAGTCGAGGGCGGCCTTCACGAACTCACTGCGCCCGGTGGCCGTCACATTGAGATTGGGCACAGCCGAGGTGCTGCTCTGGTGCTCCTCCACCCGCGGGGAACGCGGCTGATCGGCGCCAGCTTGACCAGGGTCGAAGGGCACCGACTGTCGGCGCTGGGAGGTGGGCATTGTCTTGAGCCTGGAGTCGAGGCGACCCTGGTCCGCCTTGCTAACCAATGGCTCGGGAATACGGGGCGTGGCCGCGGCCTCCGTGGGCACCGCGGACGCAATGCTGGCGCCACAGGGCACCGAACTAGAGGTAAGAGGTGCCGGGGAGGAGACCATACTGCTGGCAATGGACGTCGGTCCGTCCTCGTGGAGGGGTATGAACATGGGGGTGATACGGCGCTTGCCGTCCTTGGTCCTCGTTTCCGTCTGCTTGCTAATGGGTCGCTGATTGGACTCGTTGCTCAGCGGGAACTTGACGGGCCTGGCCTCTAGCAGCGGCGGCCCAGCGCCCAGCGGTTGGAGCAGTCGCTTCGGATGATCCATGCCTACGTGATGGCTCAGGCCGGCGCCATAGCCCTGGCCGTACATCTTCTGGAATATGGCATGCTTGTCCGTGTCGGTGATGGCCTTGCCCAGCTCCTCCTCGGAAAACTGCAGGCAAGCCATGGTTCCATCGCCGCTGCAGGCCATCAGCAGGCACTCCTTGGGGCCCCAAGACAAGTCCAAGATGCTGTCGTCGAACAGTTCATGGATGACGATCATGGGCCGCTGCAGCGCCGTCATCCAGACGGACAGCGAGCGGTCGCGCGAGCCCACCGCCAGGACGCAGTACTGCAGTGGCTTGCTGGGACTGCCGCCAGCCGCCGGGCGTTGCATGATCGAGCTGTGGAAGCGCACGCAGGTCACCGCCTTGCGATGGCCTACGAAGTCCGTCTCAGTCTTCCAGCCCACGCGCTCCACGATCTGAGCTGTGGGGACGCCGGCGTTCAAGGCGTGCGCCGAGACCAGATACTGGCCGTCCGGCGACCACGACAGTCGCAGGAAGTGCGTGGTGCCGCCGCACTCCTCGAACGGCTCGGTTATCGAGTAGGTCACGGTCCAGTCCATTGTATTCCAGATTTTGATGCTGCGGTCGTCCGACTGTGAGGCCAGGTACCTGCCAACCGGGTCCCAGGAGACGCCCTTAACCAGGCCGGTGTGATCTTTGAGCGTGGCCACCGAGTGCGGGAACGCCTGGGCGTCCCAAACGATCACAGTGTTGTCGATGCCGCAGCTGGCCAAATAGGCGTCATTTGGTGACCAGGCCAGATCCAGGACATCGCCGTCATGACCGCGCAGCGTGTAAAAGCACTTCCAGGACTCGTGATTCTTCTGCATGCCGCCAGTGCCGAAAACACCGCTGGAGCCGGTACTCTTGCGCCAGATCATTATCAGCTTGTCGTCGGAGCCGGAGGCCAGGTTCTGGCCATTCTGCGACCAGCGCACGCAGTTGACACAGGCCAGGTGCTGGTCCATTTGGCACAACATCTTCGGTACCTCCTCGTCCAGCTCGGCCTTCTCCGAGAGCACCGGCAGCATGTTCCATATGACAACGCGACCGCAGTCGCTGCCCTGGCCACCGGTGGCGAATTTTGTGCAGTCCTGATGGATATCCACCGAGAATATCTGTTTGTCTGCCCGAAAAGAAAGGCACAAAAACATGGAAGGGGCGGGTAAACACACAATTCTTGACCAAAGGCGGGATGGATTTATGCCGGTTTAGCCGGCTAACGGCCTCAACTCACCATCATGATGCACCCAGCCCGGCTTGAGGAGCCGCATGGGGAAGTGCTGGATGCCGGCCGCCGGTTATTGCCTGTAATCTGCTAGGAAAGAGCAAAGCGCGCCGAATTTGCATTAAATATTTGCGAATGTTTTTCGCGCAGCGAGTTTGTTGTGCGTCAGTGTGACCGTCCCATGCCGGCGGCGGAATCCCAACGCGCGAGACATCTGGCACCACTAACAGCTTAATGATACTCAATTAATTTAATGAATCTTTCTTGTTTTAAGTAAACTAATGCCTAAAAGTAATTAATTATAATTCTATTAAATATTCTAGCAATCTTGAATTTAATTTGTTTCGTCTCATTTATATACGAACAAATTAGTCTGGCAACCCTGTAAGAGCAAGAAGAAGAGAGCGCACATGTTTTTGTTTAAATTTTTGGATCTTCCAGTTTCTGCCTTGTTTTTTACTTCTCAAATCCCCAATCCCGGCTGAAATGGGCGGCCACCACAAGAAGAACCTGCGGGCGGAGAAGGCCAAGGTGAAGCTGAAGGGAGCCAAGCTGCCCAAGGGCCTCAACGTGACGAAGACGGACTTCAAGGTGCGCAAGATCCAGATCCAGGAGCAGCTAAAGGAGTCCTCCTACACGGAGACGGGCCAGCGGCAGTTCAATCTGAAGGAGACTCTGTCGCGTCTCAAGCACCACAGCGTCAAGTTTCGCACGGATGCGCTGCGCAATGTCCGGGACTCCCTAAAGGCCGGCAATGCGGAGCATTTGATTGGCCACCTGAACGCCCTGTTCCAGGGCATTGCAGCGGGCGCTTTGGACATGGAGCAGTCGGCCCGCCAGGAGTCGTTCAAGACACTCGACGTCCTGCTGGAGGCCCTGCAGCCGTCGGCCGTGGCGCCGTTCTTCCACGTAATTGCCACGTACCTGCGCTGCGCGATGACCCATGTCCTGCCCGCCATCCAGGAGGATTCCCTGCTGATGCTGGACGTGCTGTTGGTCCGTGTGCCGCCCGAGCTGCTGGCGGAGCGTAATGCCAGTGTCATTATCGGTAACTTTATCGACATGATCTCCCGCTCCCGGCACGACAACGAGCGCTCCAACCGCACGCTGACGCTCAATCTGGGCCAGGGCAAGCAGACGACGGTCAAGTGGCGCACCAAGGTGCTGATACGCCTCCAGCAGATCCTCGGCACCCTGGTGCAGCACAAGACCTCCAAGACCAAGGCCCCAGTTCGCGTCGTTCACTTCGAGGAGATGCGTCCGCAGTACTACAACGTGCACCGACCCCTCCAACCGGATAACCGCGACCTGCACGCCATCCTCAACGAGTCGAAGCTGAGTGCCGAGGGCAGCCGGCTGCAGACATACCTGGAGCAGCTGATGCCACTGCTCCAGGACAACTGGCTGGAGGTGCGGCCACAGCCGCAGCAGCCATTGCTCGCCCAGGATGCGGCGGCCAGCCTGCACGTGGTGGTGGGTCTGATGAGCCTCCTCTGGACACTGATCCATCAGCACGAGGCAACCCATGACACACAGGAGCTGAGCGCTTGGATGCGGACGAACTATGCGCAAAAGTTCCTGCTCAACTTCCTGGCCAAGGACGGCAGCCGGTTTCCCTACCAACAGATTCCCGCTGCCGGCGGCAAGAAGGCTGCCAAAGCCAAGGACAAGGGCCCAGCGGATGGCGGTGAGCTGTGCCTGCCACAGAATCTGACCATTGTCCAGCTGACCTGCCAGTTCCTGCCGCATCCCAGCGAGAAGCACTCCCAGCTGTTCAGTCACCTCGCCTCGTACGTGCAGCAGAGTCTGGAGCGTTCGAGTGTCCTGCCGCCGGAACAGCAGCTGCTTCTGGTGGCCTCGCTGCGCGCCTTGCTCCTGGACAATGCTAAGCTCCTGCTGGATATCGCGGCGGAACCCCTGACCAACCTGTTGGGCGCCACGATAGCGGCCTATGTGGGCCAGCGGTTCACCACGCGCGAGGGTGTGGCCACCCGGGCGCTGAGCCTGCTGTGCGAGATCGTCCAGAGATCAGACTTGTATGCCCGTTACGGTGGAGCCGAGAGATTTTCCGCCTTCCTGGGCCACCTGCCTCAGTTGCTGCTCAAGCCGACGGTGGGCGAGGGCACGCTGCTTGCCATGGCCACGCTCTGTCGCCAGCTGAACGCCGTCTTCATGGAGGCTTTGATCAAGGCCGCCGGCCAGTTGATACGTCACCTGCCACAGCTGCATGTGACGGGGGATAATGACGAGAGCGACCGCTTTGAGAGCCAGAAGCGCATCCTGAACTTGTTTTACTACGCAAGGTCTTTGGATAAGCAGGCCCAGCTGGATAGCGCTCTAAGGGAGCTGGAGCAGCAAGTGGAGAGTCAAAGGATTGCCAGCTATCTAAGGGGAGTGGTGGCCTATGACTAGGTCTTTCTGGAGGCAGAAAACTAGGCTAAGGATCATTGTTTATAAGTTGCAAGAACTTGTTGGATTTTTAAATTATAAACTAAGCTTAAACCCGGGAAAAACACACATTTTCCACAGCTAGTTGGTTTCTATAATTAGTTTAATGTGTACATTGTGTTCCTCCTTTCCGCCTGCTTCAGGCCTTGCGCTTCTTTGGGGGCTTCGGCTTGAATCGATCCAGCACTGAGCGCGCTGCCTTGGTCTTGGGCTTGGCCACCTTTGCCCCGTGCTCCTTGAACACGCTGGCCTTGGCCTGGCGCACCTCGGCAATGAACTCCTGCGCGGACAAAGAGTTGATTAGAATCAGGAATTCAAAGGATCAGGATCTACTCACCTTGCGCTTGGCATCCTTCACAATTTGCTTGTTGCGCGCCGCCTTGGCAGAGCCGCCGCGTCCCTTCATCTTGTGCCGTGACTTCATATCGATGCGCGGCGCCTTGACATGGAAAAGCCTGCGCTTGGCATCGATCTTCTCCTGCAACGTGGGCGCATCCACGCCCGTGATCTCGTGCGGGTCCAATGTGATCAGCTCCGGCGGTATCTTTTCAAGCAGCGCATGCACCTCGTGCTCGCGCCGCTGCTTCGACGTCTCGTAGGGATTGTCCTCCATGGCATCGAAGTTGGGCTCCCCAGAGCCGGGCACCAGCAGCGACTGGAAGCCCTTGGCGGTGGCCACGCCGAGCACATCCTCGTACGGGCAGAAGCGCAGGCCGTGGACGAAGGCATCGCAGCGCTGGCGGAGATAGGGCAGCTTCTGGTAATCAGCAGTGCCGCCGCCCGACAATAGATCGGCATAGGTCTCCAGGTAGGTGCCCTGGGATAGGGCCAGCATGCCGCGCTGCGACACATCCAGCTCATTGGCGGGCAGGCGCAGCTGGAAGTGAGTCAGCGGCTTGTCCTGCACCAGCATCCGGATGTCCCACACCTTGACGGCGCGATCCAGGCCCGCGGTGACCAGATGCTGGCCCTTGGGGTCAACCGTCAGCGCTGTCATTGCTGTAGAGTGGCACAAAAGCTTGGCCAGGGGCTCGCGCACCTTGGGCGACCACATGGAGACGACGCCGCGTCCGCCGCCGATGCAGAGAACTCCATTGCTGGGATTGTGGCGCAGCAGGCGGATGTCACCTAAGCCGGTATTGAAATTGCCGACCAGCTCGCCAATGGAGACATCCAGCCACGAGGCGTAGCCAGCGGTGTTGCCGGCGGCCAGGAGGAAGTGGTAGGGCAGAAAATCCAGCCGATTGACCCGCGACAGCCGCTTGATGCAGTGCAGCTCGGTGCCCTTCTTGTCGTAGATGTACACCCAGCTCTTCTGCGCCACGGCGTACATGGTGGGCACATGCAGCCACTGCACATCCTCGACGCTCTCCATCGCATTGAATTCGCAGTGCAGCCGCTTGGTGACCCAGTCGAAGGCGGCCACGTGACCGCGCCGCCCGCCCAGCAGCAAGTGGCGGCCGTTCTTGGTGTAGCGCAACTGGTAGGGGCCATGCTCCATGCTTAGACTAAAGTGCTTTGCCGCCGATTGCAGGTCCACAAGCCCGGCGATCTCCGCCTGCCGCAGCTCGGCCGTGGTCTCGCCCTCGTCCGGCTCCAGCTGGCCGGGTACCTCCTGCAGCAGCAGCTCTGTGCGCGCCGCCTGCTCGGTGGCGTACTCAAGGTACACCTCCTTGCGTGTCTGCTGCTCCTTGAAGTGGCGCGTCTTGACGCCCTTCGGCTGCACCTTCTCGCCGCGCGAGTACTTGTCCATTAGCTCCTGCGGAATGGGGTTTTTCTTGGGCTGGGGCTCAGCTGGGTCCGCTGGCTCGGCCGTCGGCTTCTTGGGTGCCTTCCTTACGAACGCTGGCGTCTTCTTGGTCTTGGTTTGCATCTTGATGAAGTCGCCAACGAAGTTCTGTTGACTCTTGCGCCGCACTTGGACGCGTTCCAGGCCGCCGTCGTCATTGTCGGTGGCCTTCTCTGTGTCGAAGTAGCGTTTGTGTGGGGTCTTTTGCTTGGGACGCGCTTTCGGCGTCGGTTTTGTCATCCTCAGTACTATTATTTAAAGAATTTACTTAAGAAAACAATCAATTTTGAATCAACAGCGTGCACGTGCTGCTTCTTCTTCTTCAGCTGTGTGTCAGTGTGGCCAAAGTCGTTCGATTAAAGTGGCACCACTGCGCTGGCTGTTTCCGATCTGGCAACGATGCTCGTACCACCACCAGTGCTGCCAGACGTTTCGTTCACGCTAAATCTGACTAGATCTAGCTTGAAACAAGCTAAGCTGGCATCACTTAAAAATAAGCTGAATTTGACGGAAAAGCGTTTTTCTTAACGAACGTGACGTAAAAATCGTCACTTCGAATCGGCTTTTTTAAGAGCGCTCGAATTTGAATCTCGCTCTTTTTCGAGCTGGATATAACAGTGAAGAGAGCGTTAACAGAAGTTAGCTTATGGAATTCCCCCGAATGAGAGTAACAGAGCTCGTTAACAGATCGATCTCTTTCGCTCTCTGCCTAAGTTTCTCTCATGATACAGTGGGCCTAATTTGCTTATTCCGTGCAATAAACGAAAATTCATTTAAAATTAAAGCAGACTGCTTTAATTTTCTAAAAAAGCTGGATTTCCCGCTGACCGCTGTTTAAACATTTTCCCGCAATTACACTTAAAAATAAGCTGAATTTGACGGGAAAAAAGCGGGAATGGCATCGCTGAGTGGGTGTGGGAAAACCTATAAAGGCAAGTGCGAACGCCCAGTCGACAAAGTTTTTTTTACGAAATTTTGAAATTTGACGGCTCCGTCGGTTTTTGTTATTTTTTCCCCGCGGCGACGGTTTCAAACAAAAAAAATATACAAAAATACATAAAATTTACGTGAATGTTTTAAAATGATTTTGTTATGGTGGCAATGTTAGTTTCGTTTTTTTTGTACAACAACACGCATGAATTTGTTGGTGCAGTGAAAAGTAAGAAAAATAAGCTTAAAGTAAAAGCAGAAATTGAGAGTTGTTTGCTGGTGTCTGTGTGTGTGTGTCAGTGTGCGTGCGACGCAACAATAACAAAACGAGACAGACAGGGAGAGCGAAAGAGAGAGTGGGAGGGAGAGCGCAACACCTACGCATAAATAGTGTTTTTTTTTTATAATATGTTTTTTGGCATGCCTCTGCTTTCTCCTCCCTCGCAGCCTCTGCCTTTCGAATTTCTCCACTTCCGGTTCTCGCTCGCTGATTTTTGAAACAACTCTTATTTAATCAATATTAATTTGTTCGACACGCAAAGAAACTTGTCCCACATTCGTGTTTTAAGCCCTCAATTGTGAAGAAATATACATAAATAAAAACTTGTTTTGTTTTGTTTTTGTTTATTGCCTTGCAAGCCAAAGCTCTCGCTCTCCACTTGTTCCCACTCTCTTTCAAAAGATCAATCCGATTGATCCGCTCTTGTTCGTTCTCTTTGGGTCTCTCTCTCTTGGCCACAAAGTTGAAGGTCTTTTTTGCATAGCAATAACAATAAATACACGCAAAATAAGGCAATCAAAGCTTATTTTACGTTAAATTAAACAAAAAAACCAAGGAAAATTAAAACCTAAAAAATGAACATGGCAAAATATGCAGAAAAGAAAAGAAAGAATTGGACATGAAATTCACGTAGCTTACACTTAAAAAAAAATATATAAAATAAATGCTCAGATATTAAACTTTTTTTTAATGTTTATTTTATTGATTGTAAGCTTTCTACATTTTTTTGCGCAGTGCATCATCTTGATTTCTGCAAAACAGGTTTTTGTTGGCGTTTAGTTTTTATTTATTTTTGATATTTATTTGTTTTATTTGGCCCGCTGCTATCGTTTAAATTTTTGCAATGACGTCAGCGGAGGCTAAATTGTTGATCAGCATTTATTTTATTATTTGGCACTGCACAAGGCAGTGCAATTAATTAGCACTTAACATGTTTGAGATTTAAATCAAATAAATGACCAAAAAACTTTGTTACAATTTATACAAGTTATTTTCTTGTGTTTAACAATGTGAATTTCTAATAATTTCTTAAAAAAAACTTAAATTCGAAATATAATCATTTTCAAAGGCCCTGAACTGTAGTTCAATGTAGAAACTCAAAAAACAAGTCAAGAAAAAATATATTAAAAAATATGCAAAAGCTTGGAGAAGACGAGAATAAGAGAGAAGCTGGGCAGGTGAAAAGGGAGACGAAAAATCGGTTGTCTCCCTCGGCTTATTCACGATTTGTTTTCTAAATCCACACTCTCTTGCAGTTAAATAAATGTTAAAAAAAAAGCGAAATTATCAAGTGTTTTTGGTTCCGGATCCGGCAAAACACATTTTAATCGAATTTTAAGCCCGCGCTGTCGACGAGATAATTGCGAAAACAATGCATTTAATCAAAGTAAAGACTAAACTCGCGCTGAAAAGCCCCGAAATCGAGAGAAACTAGCAACACCAACCAAACCAAAGCCCACAAATCGCACAAAATACTGGCAAAATAACGCAGAAAATAAAAACAACAATTAAAGATAAGGGGTAACAACAGCGGCAGCAACTAAAAAACACAGAAGAGCGGAGCGGAGGGGAGGAAGGCAACGACGGCCCCAAGATGTTGTGCCAGCTAAGTAAGGCCACCACCAGAATCCGACTCAAAAGGCAGAAAGCCGTTCCACCACATTGCTGGCTCTGGAGTCTGGCGCTACTGGCAGCATTTACCCTAAAGGTGAGCGAGCGGCTTGAAACGGCCAAAAAGCACAACACCGGTTGGCTCAATAGCAGCTAAAACGTAGTCTGAATATGTTTTTAAAATGGTATATTTATCAAAATTCCTAATCATAAGCCGTAGTCGAAAAAAATATAGCTACAACATTAAGAAATCCAAGACATACTTTAGTTTTGCCATCTTAAATTAAGCTCTTTGAATTTGAGAAGGAGGAGGAATCGCCAAACATAGCACTCTAAGCCGCCTTTTCTTTATGAAAACGTATACTGAATATCTGTAAAAATCTTATATATTTCAAGGTCCTTAAATTTGCGACCAAAAGAGATATTCAGGAGTAGAAAAAAACAACTATAGCCATGATTTTACAATTTTTGTTTACCTCCAAATGAGCTCTTTCATTTCAATTTATGTACATTTATAAGTAAATAAAATAAATATTGTACATACAATATTTTTTATTGGGTATTTATAAACTTTATCAATGGAATTTAAAATATAATAATGAATTAAACGAATTAAACAGTTGCAAAACAGATAAATTTATTTTATCAACTGCCCACATTGGGCGTGCAATCAATGCCGCAAGATTCCGCAAACATGGCTATGGGTTATTTACTTATTTATATATTATTTGTGATCCCACATTTACTCACATTTCACCCACATGGAAATCACTTGAAGCCTCCTCTCTTTATGTTCTTAACGCTGTGGTGGCTTTGGTCTTTTCCCACGTAAATCAAATTTAATTATTTCGCATCGGCGGATGTTGTATTTGTCTTTTTGAATGGAATACAAAGACCCTGAGGAAGTCACTAAAAGATGTTTGAATTAAACTTAATCAATTGTAAAATGGATAACAACTTTTAAGGCTTGAATTAAATTGAAAGAAAGAATATAGGAGAATATATGCTTCTGAGTTATTTCCCTTTGTTAAAAACTAATGATATACCAATAGGTTCTCTACATTCTTTAAATTTTGTTTTTTAATTGATATTTCGTGCCATATTTGGTTACGGTTTTTGGTGCTTTGCATAACATTTTCGTTGCATCCAAGTTTTCAGTGATGAAATCAGTAAGACTTGCATTTTTTCCTAATTGTTATAAACCATTCGCAGTTAGGCACGAATTCGATTTTCATAAAAGTTATATAATGCCCGCAGGCATTGCTAATTTATTTATTAGCTATTTTGTGAGCTTACTTGCTGACTATTTCTATTACTGTTTGTTAATTATATATTACGACTGTAGGCACGAATTCTAAACTAGTTTTCGGTTTCATTTCCATTGATAAATTCTACTTGTACTTGTTTTTTGTATTTTTTGTTTGGCAAAATTGTTGACGCGTAACGGCTACCGAGTATATAGAGCTCTATTTCCACCCTATCCGATTTCTGTACAATTGTTTCACGAGAGAGATCCCCTTCAAATGGTTTTCTAGCTGCCCGAGTTGTTCTACCGGTTGTTGTTGGCCATGTATATTGTGCCGATAAATGGCCAGAAATATTTGCCATTTGGTCACATACAATCTTAACTTATATTTCGTCGCTGGTGGCCATAAGTCACGTCTCCAGTGGAGACAATAAACACGAATAGTACAGCCATGCAGGCATTTTAAAAATACAAAAAGAGCCATCAAGATCAAAGTGATTGAGTTATTTGCAAAATGCCAGTTTCAAAGTTTATTTTTTATATATTCTGTATATTTTCTTGAACTCTTCTGGAATATTTATGAATTTAGAAAATCGTACAAAATTATGTCACGTATTAAAAACAATTATCCCAGAGTCTGAAGAGGGCGGAAGTGCTGGGCAATTAAATGCAGGACTGAATCCTCAGATGCACAGCGCAGATAGGACAACCACACCCATTCCTTGTCCGGGACACGTGTCAAACCGTAACAGCAACAAGGCCAGGGGACCAGGGAAAACTTCCTTAGACCAGACAGCTTGAAATTGAATTTTTAGAGTGGGAAAAAAGGTGGAAAACAAGTCCTTGCAGGAGGACAATTAAATGCAACCCTGCACCCGTCAAATGCACACAACTTTCTTGTATTTTTCCAACCCAATTTGACTCGAACAATGTGCATAAATTAAATAGCAAACCATTTAACCTAGGTGAGCATGAGATTGAGCTTGAGCTTATTAACCCTCCTTGCCAGCGCCAATGACTAGTCAGATAAGTATGCGGACAGAAGTGAAGGCTTTTGAGGCGAACTCAATAGCTCATTCCGGTTTCTTAATGATAATTAATTGCAAACATATGGAGAGCAGAGTGCTCACTACATTATAAACATTATATGTTAAGGAAACACCTAACAAGTGGTTACAATTTCAAATATTTCTTCTGTCAATCATTTAATCCCCAAATAAACATAAATATTCGCCAGATCTTCAAAGTATCATTTGTGTGCAACAATATTCTCGCCTCGCTTCCAGACATCAAACGGTTACTGAAAATAGAATCAAATGCCGGAAATGCAGCAGCCTCAAAATGCAAATAAAAAAAATAAAAAAAATATAAACGATCATGAAAAATCAAGGGGAAAACTCTGAGAAATTGTAGATGCAAAAATAAATTAGCTTTTGGAAAGGAAAAGTGGGATTTCGATTTCGATTTCGGTGATCGCCCCGAAGGCTCTATTGCCAACAACCCTTTTGGCATTAGTTCTTTGCTTTAGTTTGCTGATTGGAAATGTATAGGCTGGGAAACAGAGATGGAAATGCTTGGCCTGTACATACCCCAGGACTCTTTCATTGTCCTGCAACAAAACGAACCGAAAATGAAATTGCTTCAACGGTGTGTGTGTTCCCGTGAGGCGTTTTTCGACTGCGAGGGTGGCTTTTCCCGCACAGCTCCCCACATATAGAAATGTGTATATATTGAGGTGTATCGGACAGCTGAGGTGCAGACACTAGTTGTTTATTTTAGCTTTGGGATTTTTTTAAACTGTATGTAAATAACATTGGCCAAGCTAAATAACTCGAGTTATTAAGGTACATTTAAGGGAATCAGATATAAATAAATAAAGTTTAATCGATAGATATAACTGTTACCAAATAGTAATTGATAGAACAATAGACGTAAGATCAAAGAAGAAAAATATTAGAAATCTACATATGTAATACTACCTATAAAATCGAAATTTGGTAAGAAATCAAAAGTATTAATTTTTGGTATACCTTAATTTTTAATGGTAAAATCCTAGATCTTTGATATTCTTAAATGAATTTACTGTTCAAACATATTTATAACGATTAAATCGTATATTATTTATGGTATTACTGTTCCCCTTTTTTATACCCTCTCCCCTTAGTTCCCAAGAAAGGAAAGACTATTATCGTGACCCCGGCTGTATGCGCGGGCGGGTGTGTCCTATATATGAAGTCACTTAATATTTAGTTCACTGTAGCCATTCATATGAATCATAACCGGGGGAGGTTTCATCCCATGCTCTCGCTCCGGGGAGGGTAAACTACGACTGCACTAACATGCTACCAAAAATGCCACTTGAGCATTATGAAAGTCATAATTCTTGTATGGGAAAACTTTGTTACGCCAAATGTCTGCTGACTAATTACTTAGGGAAGGGAAATGACTTGCTGTGATAGTGTGATAGTATAGATAGAGTTTTAGATGCTATATTGGAATGGAAAATAATACAAAAAATATAAGATAATGCGACACAGTCAAAGTAACCATTCCGTAACACAATCCGTGCAATTTCAAGTCTTATCTGAAGATTCGTCTTCATTGAATTCTTTCACAAGATTCTCTAGACTGCTTTCATTTTTTGATTTCTTGCACTTTTTACACTCTAAAAAAGTGGGGCATAAGCTAATACGATTTATTTCTATAGTCTCTGGTCCTTTCCAACTCCAGGCTAGAGTCCCTGAAGCTCCATTAAATCCATTTCCATTACATTTAGTTTGTAATAACCCTTTGACTCCATTCACGATTACCACAACTTGTGTGTTGTGTGTTGTTTGTTGTGTCTAAAGCTAAATTAAAATCGATGCCGGGGCCATTTTGCAATGCAATCGTAAATCGCAGATCTCGAACCGTTTGTTTACAGGAATGCAACAAAAAGCAGACAGGCGGCAAACGGGAAAATAATAAAAAAAAAAACAAATGTAATGGGAAAATGCACTGGTTACAAAAGGAAAAGCCAAGGGAACGGGCTGGACCGGACCGAGTCGGCAGTTGTTTGCTTAATTGAAATTTATGGACTGCGCTCCGTAAATTGTTTCAGTGCAGGCAGTGCAGAGCTCGATGCAGATGCAGAATCGGCGAAATTATTCTTTAAAAGGGGTGTCTAGGAAGTGGCCTACTCCCTCGCCCCCGCTCTTTGTTGCGGCTCATTTGCGAGTGCTTTTCCTTGATGTTTTTCCTGATTTTTCATGCATTTCCCCGCGCCTGTGAAGTTGCGAAATCATTGAAAGATTCTTCTGAGGCCAAGGAAAATCACTCTCTGGCTGGAGAGCATTAGCACCACTCCAGTTTCCCGGGGCTTGTCAATCATTTTATTGACAGACTGACAGATGAACGGACAGGTTGTCAGGTTTTGTGATTATTTTTTTGGTAACAGGCGAAATATTTAGAAGAACCAAGAACAAATTAAACCATAACGCAGTTTGCGAGTATAAATTATTTATAACAAGAAAGAAAGCTGACTTTGGCCAGCCAAAGTTTGTATACCCTTGCAGGTAACAATTAAAATATATCATAACTAAGCCAAAAATGCATTAATTTCGATTCGGAAAGCAGTTTTGTGTTAGTTTTTGTTAATTTAAAAAAACTGCATACCAAATTTAAAATTTTAAGAAATCAACATTTTTGGCCATTTTTGCTAATTTTAATGATGTAACCCCTTATCAAATTTCGCAAAAATGGCAAAAAAAATCGATTTCTTCCGGACATGTCTAGAAAGATTCGCATGTTAATGCTGATCAAGAATATATATGGTTTATGGGGTCGGAAATGTCTCCTTCACTGCGTTGCAA